AGCGGACTTTTGCTAGTACATATATATACAAATAAGACAGTAATGTAAAATTTTAATGACTGAAATGAAATTTATTTTACTTGTATTTATTAAAAACTCATTTCCCACAAAAGAAAACCTACATAGCCCCATAAATCTTCCACCATATCCCTTCACTTCTCCCCCCCCCCTTCCGTTCCTTCTCTCTTCTTCTCCCTCTTTAGTAGTCAGATTAGAGCCTTTAATTTTTGAAGGTCATTTTGAACCGCAACTTTGACCAAATCGATTCAACCAGATGGTTAGTAGGGGTTTAACGACCTTGGTTATTAATAAGCCGAGGTTTTCCTTGTTTACGTTTGGCTCGTTTATAAACGATTCGAGCTCCAGTTTGGTTCATTTATAAATGAGCTTCGAGCTATCTCATTTATTAATACTTACTTGACTCGCCATTAACATTAGGAGTTCGGTTCGAGCTCAAGTCTATGATCATTTATAAATTAAAATTTAATATTTATGTCGTATATGATACATATAATTAACTAATCTAATGTCATATATGAGACCTCTCATGAGCTCAAAACAAGAGAGTTCATGAATTGAGCTCGATGAGCCAGCTAGTCGAACTGGCTCACAAGATGAATAAGGTTTTCCTTGTTTACGTTTGGCTCGTTTATAAATGAGTCGAGCTCCAGTTTGGTTCATTTATAAACGAGCTGAGTCGAGTCGAGTCGAACTATCTCATTTATTAATACATACTTTACTCACCATTAAGGTTAGGAGTTCGGCTCGAGCTCAAGTTTATGATGATTTATAAATTAAATCTTAATATTTATATGTCATATATTATACATGTGATTAACTTATCTATTGTCATATATATATATATAAGACTTCTCCTGAGCTCAAAACAAAAGAGTTCATGAGTTGAGCTCAATAGGTCGACTAGTCAAACCAGCTCACCAAATGAGTAAGACTCTTTCGAATTCTCATCTCTCAATCCCTAATATATTTAAATCTGAAATAGTACACGTTTCCACAATTTTATAATCCGACCAGAGACACCCAAGATCACGGAGTAATAATCAGAGGTGCCAATTGAAGTCATGGCTAACTGGCTGTGCACAATTTCTCGAGATCTCCAAAGATGAGTCCCAAAGCAAATTGTCTTGTGCAGTGGTCAGAATTTTGCAGCACTTGAGTGGCGAGAAATATGCAGAATTGACCACTCCCTGGTTCGGAAGCTCATGAAGAGCAGATCTAAATTCTAGTCTATGGCTCTACGAATGTCCCATATGCGAGCTTTAAGGTGAATCACTTTACTTTGATTAAGGTTGTTACTATTGCCAGACACTAATTACAACTTGTATAAGGACTAGTTTACCGACCCATTAAGTAATATATGAACCAAACGGGCCAAAACAAATATTGAACTTGAATTGGTGGGTGCGCCAGGCCCATGCAGTAGTGCCACGCAAGGGCGACAAGCGAGAAGGCCCCTAAAGCAAGCTCCAGTAGTGGGCCTCTCCCCCTATAAAAATTAATTTAATATCGTATGGGCCATTGGCCCACATATCAGATATTAAACTGATAAGAACAGATACTACACTTGATCTTAGCCAAAAGGCCGAGAAAGGTATGAATTCTTCAGTCTACAGAACTCGTCATTTATTGGAAGGCCTTTGCTCTTACATTCTGGTTTGAACGATGTGGTACAAAGAACCATCAGAAAGCTCAAACGTAGCTGAAGTGTCAACCATGTCCGACTTCCATTGCTTCTTCTTGGCCAACTTTTTAGCTTCTACCAAGATCGCTTGTGGATCAATAGAGCATGATCGAATCTCTGACAAGCCATTTAGTTCATCCCCACCAGCATAAGAACCCCTTGAAGCCCTGCTAAAAGTTCTGTCAAGCTGATACAATAACAACAATGAATCAACACGATTGCAGTGCTAATAGATGGGCAAGATCCACTGAATTGGCCACTCTTGCAAAAAGTAAGACGAGCCACCACAACTTTCACTGCATTGAACGTGGGATCACTAATTTCTGACATCCCTTTCAGCTTCGACGAACCAGCGAGGGCAGGATTCTCTATACACAAAGATATAGCTTGAAACACGTACACTACTGGCAGCAGGATTTAAGTTGCGGCCGTTGCAGTGTCAATCAATATGATACTCTAGTCGTGTGCAGCCTAAGCTACGGGCTCGTCAAATCTCACCATCGAATATAAACAATGCCAGCTACTTTGCTGCCCTTTATGGATCATAATTGCATCCCCAGTTTTGTCATTTGTGGTTGGAACGTGTATCCACCCTGATTACAATAGTAACAGATGCTTTGGGAAATCAAACGTGATTTGCATTGATGTATATTGAGGGGATTTATACAAGATACAGAGAGGTTATAGGGAAAGATAAATACAAGGGGAAATACAATCGTACAACTGTAAATACATGGATAAATATAGAAGGAATAAATCATTTATTCTGTTATTCTAATACGCCCCCGCAAGCTGGACGTAGTGTCAACGACGCCAAGCTTGGATCGAAGAAGAAATCGGGTCACCGGGAGAGGCTCGGTGAGGGAGTCAGCTAGTTGCTGAGCAGTGGGAACGTAGCGAACACGAAGGCGACCATCTTGAACAAGCTGGTGAACGAAGTGATAATCAAGAGCTAGGTGCTTCATGCGGGAGTGAAACACCGGATTTGAACTGAAGCACGTAGCCCCAAGGCTGTCAGATTAGAGAATAGGAGAAGCAGCAAGTGGTTGACGAAGTTCCTTAAGCAAGTTTTGCACCCATTCAAGCTCGGCGGTTGCATGAGCGATGGCTCGATACTCGGCCTCCGTGCTAGAACGGCCAACTGTACGCTGCTTCTGTGACCGCCAGGAGATAAGTGTCGAGCCAAAATAAAGAAGATACGCTAAAGTAGATGTCTGGTCATCAAGATTGTCGGCCCAGTCGGAGTCGGCAAATGCAGAGAGAGTGAGAGGAGTGGTGGAGCGCCGAATTTGCAAGCCGTAAGTAAGAGTCCCGCGAACATAACGAAGAAGCCTCTTTACACATTGCCAATGATACGTCGTCGGAGCATGCATAAAGACGACGGATAGTGGCGGAGAAGTAATTCTCGACTAGTTTGCGAAAATTCAAGAAAACTTGAAGAACATCATATTTATTTTTCAAGGGATAGTACCACGTATAACGCGAGAAGTGATAAAAAATAATGAGATAATAATGATAACCATCAATGGAATAAACCGGAGCAGGGCCCCAAACGTCTGTGTATAAGAGATCGAATGGTCTATCACTAGTCAAAGACGAAACAACAAAAGTGAGTTTGTGACTTTTATTGGAAAGCCATGAATCACATGAGCTGCTAGTGATAGAGGACGAGACTGGGAGGGATTGCGAGCGAAGCATACTAGCAAGAGATTGAGGAGATGGATGAGCGAGACGAGATTGCCAGGAAACAGGCAAGGTGCGAGTGGTAACAAGGGCTAGACGGACAGGTTTGGCCTCCCGAGGCAGCTCATACACATCACCGTTGTTTGTCCCTTTCAGCATCGGCGCCCCCGTGCGAAGATCCTTGACAACAGAACAGTCGGCAAAAAATTCCACCGAAACAGGGTTAGTGCAGCATAGCTTGGCAACAGAAATTAAGCGCTTTTTGATGGCAGGAACACAAAATATATCATTAAGATGGAAGTTCTGAAAACCAGTAGATAGAGTAGAAGAACCAATGTGAGTTATCTTCAAACCTAAGCCATCGCCAACAAAAATCTCATCGGGGCCATTATAATCCGAGTAAAGTGATAAGTTGCCTAAATCTGTGGTAACGTGATGTGATGCAGCCGAGTCCATGAGCCATGGACCTAAATTGGATGAGCCTGCGAGAGTGGTGGTAGCATGGGCTTGAGGTTGGGCTCGCCGAGTTTGGGGAAACAGCTTGAAACAAGAGCGGGCTAAGTGACCAGGCCACCCGCAGTATTAGCAAATGATAGACAGGCGACGATGGCGGGCTTCATCAGGTGAGAGGGTAGCAGCGCTCCAGACCCAATTGTACGACCCATGTTGCGAGAGTGAGGTTGAGGTGAAGAAGCCCAGTCACGATCGCGGCTGGGGAATGAAGGCGGTGCCTAGTCCTGCTGCTGGCCGGGCGGGCGTTGAGGACTAGCAGAGGGGCCGGAGCCGCCGTGAAGTTATTGGCCCTGAGAGTAATACGCAGTTGGCACGGCGTGAGCATCCCTAGCCTGCTCCTACAAGTCAGCTTCGTACTCGACAAGAGAGTCGAGAAGATCATCAATCGTGCTAACAGTGCCCCGGGCACGAACAGAAGCAGAGAATTGATTGAAATCAGGACCTAAGCCACGCAAGGTATGAACAACAAGATCAATATCATAAACGGGTGCACCAATAAGAGCGAGTCCGATCACTTTCAGTTCCATGTCATGGACGTAGGTGACGACATCACGGTCACCCTTCTAAGTCTTGTGCAGGCTGGTTTTAAGAGCAATAACTCTGGATTGAGCACAACTAGCATAGAGCTTCTCAAGAGTATTCCAAGCATCACGAGAAGTTGCAGCAGATACATATGGATAAATCGATTCAGATAATGAGCAGCGAAGAGCATGTAAGATAAGCTTATTTTGACGAAACCACAAGCGATAGGCAGGATTGGGTGTCGTAGCATTGTTGGTGGTGACTGTGTAATGATTGGGATTTAGTTGTCACAAATGTTTAGTTGGAGGTGTCTGTTGTAATTGACCAGCCCTATAAAGGGTCTTGTAGAGAGAAGTAATAAAGAAATAACAGAACACTCTATTCTCAATCTCCTTCTCTGTGTCAAGAACCAGTTGATCCCAATAACTCGAGTTATTGGGAGAGGTTCAATCGTGGATCATATACCACAACACTAACACACCCCCTCAAACGAAAGCCACTCACAAGGCTTGAAATTTGCACAGGTCTGAAGACAAGAATACCATGTGCTTAACAAATGGGGGTCACCGGGAATCGAACACAAGACCTCTCGGTCACAGAAGGCTCTGATACCATGTCAAGAACCAGTTGATCCCAATAACTCGAGTTATTGGGAGAGGTTCAATCGTGAATCATATACCACAACACTAACACTCTATACTCTCTTCTTCTTCCTCTCCTTTTCCGTTCTTCCCCTGATTCTCTGATTGTTCTTCTCAAATTCACCTCCCTTCTTCCTCGATCTAGTCTATTTCTATGTTCTTAATCACCAGGAAAGATCCAGATCCATCACGACTGTTACAACTTGGTATCATAGCCTCTTCTTGGCAAACTTTGACGAGGGCAATCAGAATTCGAGAATTCGCAGCTTTCACCAACAATGGGGGGTATGGAGCGACGCGATGACGCACGGCCTGATCCAAGCTTTCTGAGTTTGTCAGAGCTACGTCAAACAGGGATTGCGACCGAAATTGGCGTCGCAGGGCATCCGTTTGCTGCCTGTAGCTTAGCTCGTGCGGAGAGCCCACCACCTGTTCGAAGAAATGCGGAGTTGAAGGTCCTTCTGCAAAGAAGCGGCGTTTCAAACCAACCTGGTGACGCACTTGGAATCAACGGCCAATCTCACGGTAATTCCACCTCCACTCTGCCGTTGGCATTTCCTTCTTTCGATGGGGAGAACCCTAAAGAATGGATTATAGAATGTGAGTTGTTGTTTGATGAGTAGGGAATATCGGATGAGCGGAGAGTTGAGTTATCGGCAGCAAAGTTCCATCGTAGGCCGGCTATTTGGTTCTGGAATTGGGGGTTGCGTCGAGTCGTGTTAGATTGGGATGAGTTTGTTGATGCGGTATGCAACCGTTTTGGCAGTACAGGTACTATCACTTCCCTCCTTCTCGGGTGACAATCCTAAGGATTGGATTAGGAAATGTGAAGAGTTGTTTCGTTTCCACAAAATACCTGAGCATGAGAGGGTGGGTCGGGCATCAATCTATCTTGAAGGAAGGGCTCTCGGGTGGTTTCGATATTGGCACCCTCATCATGATTTTTGCAGTTGGGCAACATTTGCTACGACTGTGTGTGAGTATTTTTGGGATTTGGATATAGAGTGGGTAGTTGGGGTGTTCAACATGCTTATAATGCTAGAGTCGGTAGAGGAGTATCAAGAGTGATTTGAGGTATTGGAAGTGGCACTACTGAGGCTGGATCTAACGTTACCAGAAGCCTACTTCATTAAGGGTTTTCTACGTGGCTTGCCGGGTGATATTCAAGCATTGGTGAGGAAGTCACAGCCACAAACTCTTCTCCAAGCATACCATCAAGCTCACTTAGAAGAGGATACCATCGAGACTTGCAAAAGCTAGAAGCAATCTCAGCTGGGTGATTACTCAGGTTCAAGTGGAGAGGTCTTATTTGATATGAATCAACTTATTCCTCCTACGGATTGTACTACCATCAGCAATCCATCGCCTGAGGACTTAAACTGTTTTCGACGTTTTTCAGTTCCAACTCTCCCCACTGCCTGTTCGCAGAAATACTGAGGCCTCCCTTTTCCCTCCACCTACAGGTACCTATCCGCCTCTCCTACCTGAACCGGATTTCCCTTCCTTTTGTGGCGAGAACCCTAGGGCTTGGATTAGCTTGAGTGAGCATCTGTTTAGAACGTGTGTTGTCCCTGAGCATGAGAAGGTTGAGAGGGCAGCAACTAACTTCGGGTCTAGGCCAGAGGTGTGGTTCAAATGTGGAGTTCTCGACGTCCAGCGTTGGTTTGGGGTGATTTTGCGGCTGCTCTTTGTCGACGATTTGAACGTTTTGGATGGTACAAGGATCCTGTTGAGAAACACACTGGAGGCTCCATTGATATTGAAAAGGCAGGTCCTTGTGTGGTAAGAAATCACGAGAAGTACCTAGTGGACTTGGTCTAGAATTTGGTGGAGCAAAATGGATTTGAGTGCCGGATTGGTCACGCTAACTCTTTGAAGACAGTTGAGGGCTTGGATGAAAAGAGTACACAGATAAATGGATGCAATCTTGAGCTGAGAAAAACTATTTGATTATTCAGTAATAACAAAGGCTTTAAGAGTGGGGATGTCGTGCTCAATAATGCAACTACTTTACTTGCTAAGGCCATATCAAAGCTAGAGGATGAATTTAAGCAGCTACTTGTGTCTTACAGCAACACTGTGGAGACTGTTCGTCTTCTTGATTGTCTTTCTGAATCTGTGCGACCTTCTCCTGGATCTTATGGCCACTATGGCGACCCTAATTGCCTAGGTCATCACTTCCATAAGCATTCCAAGCAACAGAACCGTAATGCAGAGGCTGCATTCATTCGGTTCCCATTATATGTGGCTGCCATGACTAAGACTTTTGGTGGGCAATCCATCGATTCCATTTTTTGTCCTCATAATTTCGATGTTGGATTTATAGAGGGCGTTGTAGAGTGCTGCTAAACCAGTTGGGATTATAAGTATAGGGTTTACCCTACTTACTACGGGGTTTGGGTACGATCTTGTGGCAGAGGAAGGCGCCCTGGTTTCAAGGAGCCTTATAACTTATAAGGATTGTTGTCACTTGGCTGGTGGGCTGTGCTGTTTATAATGAGCATGATGTTTGTTAATGATATACGGTGTGTTGCAGTAGTAGAGAAAGCTTGAGCTGATTGTGGGTTAAAGGCTGTGCTGTTTACAGTGAGCATGAAGTTGTTGGTGTCTATATGGGACTAGTTGGTGATATGCTTGCAGGGTTCTATCCAATCAATCAGTAGCTTACGCTTACTGCGGCAGCCTATGATGAGTTCTAAGCTCTTGCCAATGAACAGTTAGGAGGGTGAAGTATAGGGGAAAAAATCTCAAGTTACACATGTTTTTAAAATAAATTCTCAAAATACACACATTATGAAAATAATTCCTAATCTACGCATGTTTGGGCATTCACCGTGGCAAAGAAGGGCGATGATTGCATCACCGCGGCAGAGGAAGGCGGTGATTGCATCACCGCTGTCGACATCACCGCTGTCGACGAAGGCGGTGAATGCTTCACCGCAGTACACGGCCGCGGTGAAGGCCTGACCTGCGTCGAAACTTTAAACAAACGTAACTTTGTGCTCGGTTATCCGGTCGTAGCGAAATTTTTTTTAATTCCGCATAATTTTTCGAGATCTTGCAAGCCGCAAACCGCCGACTTCGTCTCGAAAAAATGTCGTTTGCTACCCCGAACGAGTCTTTTTTCGATTCGTCAAACTTTGAACGACCATAACTTTGTGCTCCACAATCCGAAAATCATGAATTTTTTTTTTATTTCGTATAACTTTTTAAGGAGCACAATTTTTAGTAGGAGAGAATTTTCAAAAATTAATTATTTATGGATAGGATTTTGGGAATAACTTTACCTTCCCTTTTCAGGAATCCAAGTACATTCCGAAATTATGTCTATGATAAAAATTGTAGTCCTTAAAAAGTTATGCGAAATCAAAAAAAAATTCATGATTTTTGGATTGTGGAGAACAAAGTTATGGTCGTTCAAAATTTGACGAAATCGAAAAAAGACTTGTTCGGGGTAGCAAACGACATTTTTTCGAGACGAAGGTGGGACGTCGGTTTGCGGCTTGCAAGATCTCGAAAAATTATGCGGAATAAAAAAACATTTCGCTACGATCGGATAACCGAGCACGAAGTTACGTTTGTTTAAAGTTTTGACGCAGATCAGGCCTTCACCGTCTTTCTCTAGAGCGGTGATGCAATCACCGCCTTCCTCTACAGCGGTGATGTAATCATCACCCTTCTTTCACGCGGTGAAGGCTCAAACATGCGTAGATTGGGAATTATTTTCATAACATGTGTATTTTGAGAATTTTTTTTTAAAACATGTGTAACTTGAGATTTTTTTCGAAGTATAGGTGGATCATTCAATTTTGAAAAGAGTAGGGTTGGTTTCAAACGAGGAGAACAACCAACTACCTTTGTTGTTGCAGTTTCATATGTCTAGTTCATTTTTTTTTTATAATGGTGAAGATATTATTAAACTAAGAGAGAGGTACTATGTCTAGTTCATTTTCTTGTCATTTCTTATGTCGTGGGTTGTTGTGTTGTTGATAGACTTGAGGACAAGTCTATTTTTGAGGGTTTGGGAGTTGTAATGATTGAGATTTAGTTGTCACAAATTTTTAGTTGGAGGTGTCTTTTGTAATTGACCAGCCCTATAAAGGGTCTTGTACTGTGAACGAGAGAAGAAAGAAAGAAATAACAAAACACTCTAATCTCAATCTTCTTCTCTGTACTCTATTCTTCTTCCTCCCCTTCTCTGTTCTTCCCCTGATTCTCTGATTCTTCTTATTAAATTCACCTCCCTTCTTCCTCGATCTAGTCTATTTCTCTATTCTTAATCGTCGGGAAAGATCCAGATCCGTCACGGCTGTTACAGACTGTCTTCTCCGGCGCAACAGAGGTGCAGTCGACGAAACCAAGGAGGTGTAGGGCCACGAGTAGTGTCTCGACTTGAGATCTCCAGGAGGTATAATTGAGAGATGTGAGCTTGAGCGGCAAATGAGTGGCCGGATTGAGCGTCATAACTGCGTCTTCAGTTGTCATGGTGAGGTATCGCAGCAAGAGGGAAAGAAAAAGATTTGGATCTGAAATGAAAGGAAAGAAAAGAGAAAAGAGAGCGGGGAAAAGAGAACAGAAGCGTTATTGGATCAAAAGCCTAGCTGAACGTTGCTATGCTCTGATAGCATAACAGATGCTTTGGGGAATCAAACGTGATTTTGCATTGATGTGTATTGAGGGGATTTATACAAGATACAGAGAGGCTATAGGGAAAGTTAAATACAAGGGGAAATACAATTGTACAACTGTAAATAAGAACTTCTAAAGTCGATCTACTGCCAAGTCCAAACACGCAGAGCTGAGTTTCCAATTTGGACAATTCCAAGAACCCCTTTGGATGAAAAGAGTACACAGATAAATGGATGCAATCTTGAGCTGAGGAAAACTATTTGATTATTCAGTAATAACAAAGGCTGAAGAATGGAACTAACTCAAATTCTGCAACAAACAGGAGAAGATAAAAACTGCAGCAATGCCAGGCCCCAGGCTTGAACTGATGCTCTGTAGGAAAGGAAATGTATATCATTAACCATAACAAAGAGAATAAATCCAACATTAATTAAAACTGAAACACGAGCAACAAATACAACAATGTCTTTACTTTGCACAGTTTATGCAGACTCAAGGTATTAATGGATGCCTTTCCTTGTTAATCTTAGAGTGTTGTGTTCCTTCATCGTCTTCTCCATTGTCTTGTCTTCGGAGGAAGAGCTTTGCTCAGACTCCGAGTCTCTCTCGATCACCACTTTAGGCAACGCGTTCCGTCTCGATCGTCCGCGGCGCCATTCTTTGACGTAATTGGATATTGTAGGAGCTGACGAAGAAGACAAAGATCCCTAAAAACCAGGGTTTTGAGTTTGACTGACAAATGGGGAACCAACTTACCTAAGGGAAGGGATGGTGAATCCAAGACCAAGAGCAAATACAAAACAAAACTGATGAGAGAGTTCCACTGCGAAACCACAACAAAAGTTTTGGGGCCAACGAAACAAAGAGCGAGACAGTAGAGTAGAGACAAACCGGCCGCCAAGAAGAAACTGCCTTAATTACTGTCCTGCCCTTCTCTCAGACCAGTCGCCCGTCCATGGGGGGAGCGAGACTCGGAGGATATATCCGGAAATTAAAATTTCAGCTGTGGCGGGAGTTGATGTGACCGGTTAGCCACCGCTTTGAGGTCAGCAACAATTAAAAGCAAGGTTGTTAACCAGCGGGTTGACCCGGACCCGGTCGAGCTAGTGGGTCAAGAGTCAATGGGTCAACTGTTTTATCCCAATTTGGCCTGGAAATATGGAAAGAGTCATTATATTGTACTTTTTCTTATAAATTATATCAAATCTTATCTAACATATGAGTTATAACATATAATATTACACCAAAATAACATATCGTACTTAGATATAGCATAAAGTGAAAATTCACACACACTTATATACATCAATATTCAAATATTCAACTTAGGATTCCAAAGATTGAGTTAGGCGAAAAGAAAAATCGTAAAATATGCGCATTTCGCAAAGCAAAAAAAAAAAAGACACAATTTGACCTTCAACCCGGTACCTTATAGCGGTCGACCCGACGGGTGTGTGCGACCCGTTTTTCTCACCGGGCAAGGTCAAAACGGGTCGACCCGCGGGTTAAGAAGATTAAAAGGCAATGTCGACCATCAACATTTTTTTGCCATGATTAAACCGCTTTATTAGCAGTTTCTTTTCTTTTGGATAATTCAATCCTTTATTTCTGCAAAAACCCAAATAGCTAAAAGAAATTTAGACGCGAATTAATGAAGTTAAAATATTTTTTTCGACTTCGATAATTGTTAATTATAGTAATTTTCAAGTTTCATGTAGATGTTGTAATTTCAATTCAGATCTCCATTCTGATATACCAACTAATAATTAAATCTAATTAATTCACATGATAATTAGGGCGAGATAGATAGTGGGACAAATTATTATTCCATTAAGGTCAGGTAGGTGACGCGTCCCTTATCCTCTAATACTAAACATCCAGCTGGTGGACAAACCTATTTTTTTAAAATTTACTGTGCCATTCCCACTTTGTCCAACATGAATAAAATAATAAATAAATATCAAGAAAGAAAGAAAAAATATAAAAAACACAAAATGCCACTAAAAAGGATGAAATAGTACTTTTCCCATGCGTGACTGAGGCTTCGCCGCCGGTTTATAAAAACCTCTGGCGTCGCCGTAGTCTCCGCCACCCGGGTTTCCCCTCTTCTTTACCACTTTTGCAGTGTTCCTTTGGTCTTTTGTACCCTACATCTAGTGCGTGGCCGCCACGTAGGTGCAGCGCACCCTAACTTAAAACCAAGTTGACGTTACTACCCTTCCCTCTTTATACTCAGTTACTCATCAAACATGACAAAATAAAAGAAAATCGCCAATCCTAAACCCCAAGCTGCCGCCACCACCAAGCCATCGTCGTAGTTGAGCCACCGCCTCCACTGTTGTTGATCTAAGTTGTTGAAGCTCGCGCATGTATGTGGGCACCGGGCGGCCCATGGGCTGGCGCGAGCACGGGCACGAAATAAATGGGTCAGCCCGGCACGGGCACTAATAATTTATGGGTCCTGCCGTGTCTAAATTTCATGGGCACGGGCACGGACACGACACGGTATATAAGTGGGCCGTGTCGGGCCTAATATTTTCGAGACTTTCTTGAGTATAAGAACGGACATGTCACAAAAATAATATTTATTTTATAGAAAATAAATATAAAAATAATTATAGGTTCAAATATTACAAAACATAAGGAGAAAAATAATTATTTGTTGTTGTTAGAAATGTCATAAAGATATATATGCAATTACTAACATAAGTAAAAATGGACAAAGAATTAAACAAAGCCAAATCACACTCGCTATACTTCCAATTTTCTTTCCCTCCTTATTTGTTACTTTTTTCAAACATTATCGGTTAATACTATCTTCCTTCGTCCTATTTTCACCTTCTTTTTCATTATCTCTTTTGCAGCGGCGGATCCAGGTGTGGGTAGAGCACTGGGCCACATTGAAAAAAAAGGCAGAGAAAGGCTGGATCGTAACACGACGAACACTGAAACGAACACCTAAACGAACACAAAAAATCGAAAATTTACAAGTGCTATACTAGCTCTGAATCAAGGGAGGGTTGGGCCGTGGCCCGGGGGCGGCCCCCTAGATCCGCCGCTGCTCTTTTATTTTCGTCTTTTTCATTAAACACGAATACGAGCATGACACAAGCACGAATAGGCACGACACGATTCGAACCGTGCCCGGACCTGGGCCGGACCTAGCAAAGTTAACAAATGGGCTTGAGAGAGCAAACTGAAGAAACATATATTAGTTGTGAGTTTGAGAGAGCATGTTGTGATATGAGGAGGCAACAATGTGGACAGGTTTTGTAGTGATGAGATTCAATGAGACAACAACGAACTTCATGACGACATTATTGATGACAAGTTTCAGTTGCATGTAATAGTTATGATCCTCGTGATTGATTGAGTTCCTCGACAGCACTATATAATTTAGGATCAAAATGTGTCATAAATTATAATTAAGTAATTTAATTTGTAAGTTAGAACGATATTAAAAAAATTTAGAGACCGATAGCAATACAACATTTTCAAAATTAGACTTTTAGGGGTCGTTTGGAAGTTGTGATTGTTAAATAGAAGTATTGTTGAGAATGCATGTATAATGTTATAAATGTATTGTCGAATTTGATGCATTGTAGAATACAACGTTTGGTATGTGTGATTGTGTATGTCGCATTAGCTAAAACCTAAAAGCTGACAACAATTTTAACTCAACTATCTCAACAATCACAACTAAAAGTTGAGAGATATCGGTCACATCATAGAAATAATCCATGTATTGTTTCTGCTAAAAAACAAAAAAAACGATGCATTGTAAAAAGAAAAAGAATAGCAACTTCCAAACCACCCCTTAGAGCATATAACACAAGTATAATGATCTGCAAAAAGAAAAAGAAAAAGTATTTTCATTTTTCAACCTTTCGGTAGGTGGGGGCCATAAATCAAATGAAGATTGAAGAAGCTCTTCTTCGATTGAGATTCACGAAGCGCGGAGCAGAGGATCTTATCTACTTCCACGGTCGGGGTTTGTCAGGATCTGTCGAGAGCGAGGGCAAGATGGTCAAATCGAGCAATCCAAGTTCTACCCTTTCTTCTTCTCCGCCTTCTTTAATAAACAGAGAGAGAGAGAGACACGAGAGTGGTATTACAATTTACAACTCAACTGACACTGCCGGGGAAGGAAGGGCTCTCTCTTTTTGTCCCTCTGGGGTTTTCTAGATAGGGTTTCCGCTTACAATTTGTCGAGTTTCGGATTTGATTTCTGTGGTTCATCTGAGATTTCAGTCCAGTGAGAATAGCTTCGTTGTTTTGGTTCCCCCAAATCAACTCACTGTCTGTCCAGTTCGAGAAAATTCTCCTGTTCGTTTGATGGGGATCTACTTTCTGGGGAAATAAGACTCAGTGGCATGGGAAAATCTTCTTTTAAGGATTCACTCAAAGCTCTTGAAGCTGACATCCAACACGCCAACACTCTGTAATTACTTCCTTCCCTCATCTTCCCATCTTTCTGTACTCCTTTTTCCTTTCTGGGTCGAGCGAAAGTCGGGATCTTTCTGTTTTTTTTTTAATAGATGCATCGGTGTTTAGTATGTTTTACTGTAGATGAGTTTTGATTTCTTTCTTCTGTCTTTCTGCTCGGTCGGTCACTGAGTACGGATTAGAGGAATATTTAATTGCGTTTTATGATCGAGGAGAACATCAGGGGAAACTGAAAGTTTCTGTCTTGATTACAGTAAATCGATGGGATTTTGGATTTTCTAATGATTGTGGTGAATTTGCAGTGCCTTGGATTATCCGAGGGAGAAGGATGGAGCTCGCGTTCAGATGAGATTGTCATACAGCCCAGCTGCCCAGTTCTTTCTGTTCCTTGTTCAATGGACTGATTGTCACCTTGCTGGCGCCTTTGGCTTGCTCCGGATTCTCATTTACATGGTGAGTGAGATCCTCTTTCCACATTCTGCAGGCAATCATTGATTTACTGCCTCAGGCAGATGCGGTTATGATCTTATCCGACGTGCATTCAGGTCTTGTACACTGTTCTTCTATTTCAAACTGTTGTTTGTCTTATTAGATTGAGATGTATGTACTCTTTTGGTTGCTGCAGACCTATGCTGATGGGAAGACCACTATGTCTGTTTACGAAAGAAGAGCCAGCCTCAAAGAGTTCTACGGTGAGTGGCTGACTGGAGCTTCCAGTTTTGTAGAATCTGCTGATGATGTGTGATGCAGCTAGAGGTTGGGAAGTTGAAACTAGTCGCGGTTATTCGTGTGCAATCAAATGACGTTGCAGGTCTTTGTTTTCTTTGTTTCGAACAGGAGTGATATTTCCTTCGTTGTTGCAACTTCAGAAAGGGATCACAGAGTTGGAGGATAGGAAACAGATGGAGGTGTGCACCAGCAAGTACAGTAGAGAAGATGAGTGTGACAGAGGGGAAATGTCTGGGATTGACGTTGAAAGAGAAGATGAATGTGGGATATGCATGGAGATGAACCCTAAATTTGTGTTGCCTGATTGCAATCACTCCATGTGTCTCAAATGTTTCAGGGACTGGTAAGTAGTTAACCTTCCTCCCATCTGACCCCAGTGCATATGAAGATTTCGAGTCCTACATAGTTGCAGAATTTGATGGTCGTGAACCGGGTTCGTGTTTTGATTCGATGTCTTAGTTCACTTCTTTCTGAACTTCATCACAGGCGTGAAAGGTCTCAGTCATGCCCATTCTGTCGGGACAGCCTGAAGAGGACGAATTCTGGGGACCTTTGGATATTCACAGACAGCTCTGAAATCGTAGACTTGCCTAGTATTTTAAGGGAGAATTGCAGGAGGCTTTTCATGTACATTGATAAGTTGCCACTCATTGTTCCAGATCATCTTTATTCCATGTGATCGCCATTGCCAGATTATGGGCCTCATGGCCCTTGGCTGGCGCCTAGATACTCTTCTTGTATAGCATGTTCCTGTATATCAGTATATCTTTTCCTCTACCGGTAACATGTCAACAATGTAAATATTCTCCTGGCAATAGATATGGTTGAGTGGTGAATTTTCAACAAGGTTCTTTCATTTTTCTACAGTAGCAGAATGTTGAAATACGAACATTAGAATGAACAAATGAGACTGGGGATAGTTTAGATTGAGAGAACGAGATACTCCCTGCCTGCAAATTCGGTCATGATTGATCATCGTCTCTAAAACGCACATAATCTGCATAGCGGCGAGGTTGCTCCTCTTCCGCATGGTTCACGTAGGCATAACCGCCATGGCTTGAGACATCTAGCCCCGCAACTTCCTCTTCTATTGATATCCTTAGAATGTTGAGCTTGTGGAGTACATAAAACATAGGCCCCATTGTTACACTAACCCAGCCAACGATCGCCAACACTGCAACCACTTGGGAAGTGATCAACTTCCATCCTCCGCCCAATAGAAGGCCGTAAGGTCGTGGAGCCATGCCTGCAAGTCCTGAATCATAGACTTGAACAACGAACTCCTCTTTAGCAAACAGTCCAGTGAATATCAAACCCCAAGCTCCACAGCCGCCGTGAAGCTGGGTTGCCTCCAATGGGTCGTCGTATTGCAGCTTCAACGCCAAGATGTTGAGGCCAATTAGGACCCAAGCTGCACAGAAGCCGCACACAATAGCAGCCCAGGGCTCCACAACTGCGCAACCTGAAGTGATTGCTACAAAGCCACCAAGCACACCATTGCATACATCCATTGTGTCCCAATGACCGATTAGCAGCCTACGTCCAAACAAGGTTACGATTCCGGCTGTGGACCCTGCCAATGTGGTTGTCACTGCTGTGCGGCCCACTGCAGTCCAGTTGCCCTGGCCAGCCGTGCTAGGATAGGCTACGAGGATCTTTGTGAATGAGCCAGGATTAAACCCGAACCACCCGAACCATAACAAGAAAGTTCCTAGTACCACCAGAGTTGCATTATGGCCACGCATTGGCACTGGTTTCCCGAATGCATCGAACCTTCCAACTCGAGGACCTTCGATGAAAGCACCCCAGAATCCAGCAATAGCCCCCACCAAATGCACCACCCCGCTACCAGCAAAGTCGATAGCACCGGATCCAAACAGCAATTGGGTCGAGCTAGTACTCAACCAACCGCTCGAAGACCAAACCCAATGAGCCACAATGGGATAAACGAAGCCGGTTAGGAAAAAGGAGTAGACAAGGTAAGCACCAAACTGGGTTCTTTCAGCTATGGAGCCACTAGTGATGCCTGCCACAGCAATGGCAAAAGCCCACTGATAAAGGAAGTAGGCATAATCGAAGTCCGGGCTGGGGACGTCTTTGAGAGCGAAAAAGGTAGTGCCGATGAAAGGATTGGCATTGGAGCCTGTACCAAATGCGAAAGCAAAGCCAAAGAGGTAGTAGGAAATGCTACCTACGACGGCATCAACAACATTTGTGAGCATAATGTTGAGGGCGTTCTTGGCTCTCACTGAGCCGGCACACAGCATGGCAAAACCAAGTTGCATCATGAACACCAGGTAAGCCGAGAAGAGAAGATAAATGGTGTTGATGGCTTCTGTAACACTTTCTTCCCATGAGACTTCCATGGCGATGGATGGGAAATGAGAGATTGGAGATGAGAGAACGAGGAGTGGTTGCTGTAAATGGGAAGATAAAGAAGATACCAACTCACAAGTTGATACAATCCTCCCTCAGTCCCCTACAGATATTGAATTGTAGCTGGGGACTGAACCCCTCAAATTGATTTTTGTCCTCCATGTAGGGCCGTCAAGAATTGTGACTAGCTGTGAATTGTAAGTCAGTGGATGAGAAGGGGACGGATAGGCTTAAACGATAGCATTTTAGTGGACAAGTAGTAGTAGCTAAGGCTTTTATTCAGATGGGACTGGGAGTGGAAGGGAACGCTAGCTGCCTGGAATTCGTTCTCCAGATCCAAACAGGCAGATGATATATGCTATTAACATAGTAAGCTTTTCACTGTCTTGACGACTTTGTAAACTTATCCATCTCAAATCAATGGGATAAACTAGATTAAGATGTCGATTACGAACTAAAATGACATTATTATAAGATGCTTTTGATTCTATAATTGTCTCCACAGCAAAAGAGTTTTCGATAACCAAATAAGTTGACATAAAAGTATCGATCCCTGGAAATTGATTCCATCAGGGTTCTTTGCTGAGTTTCATAAACGTCTACCTATACATAGAAATGACAACAGTAACAGTGGGGATCATGTTTATACACAACTTGCGAGGAGTGTTGTACTTAATAGGATTCTACATAGCTATCTGAGTTCCCAACCGGTACCCGGCTAGTGAGGGAGGGTCTCATGGTGACTATGGCAGATTCATTAGCTCCAGCTCTGAGTGCAGCTCTCCCAGCTTCAAGGAACCTCCTGACAGCATCTTCAGTATATTTTTTGGCTTGAGCCACCGTCATGGTCTTGCCAATATCCGGGTAAGTGTTCAACACATAATCACCATTCAGCTGGGATGCAAGCTGGACTAGCTCCGTTTGGAACTCCGACAGTTTTGCATCTGGCTTTGCTCCTACCGGTCTCAAAGCTTGCTTCACTTCAGGCAGTGTCTCTGTATCGAGAATGATGCATACAATAGGATTAGCTTCCAAACCTGAAAAGAGAACTCATACAGACATCCCAAACCCAAAAGCACCATAGAAGCTAAGTAGTTGCAGGTCACTTTCAAGTTTCAACTCTCTAATTGGTTATGGAAAGATTGAGAAGCACCTAACGGGAAAGGGAAGGAAACAAGGGACCCTCTAATCTCTTTAGATTTGGATTGACAAAAATGAAGCGTATACAGCAACATCCAAGATTTCTTGCGATAAGTTCCAACCTCATTTTCTTATAGCAACAAACAAAGATGGAAGAGGATAATCGCAAACCTGGGCAGTCGTCACGGGGAGTTTTGCGAAGGTACAAGTAGCTGTCAAAGGTACCAGCCCAAGCATCCCTCTTGGTCAAGAAGTTGGATTTCAGGTTGAAGAGCTTCTTTACCGTGGCGGGGACTGAAGAATGCTCAAACTGGGAAGTCGGTGTTGGCCCATCAGGCTCATGGATTACTGCACACCCATGCCATCAACCAGAACCAAACACCGTTTATTAGATAAGAAAAGCTTTGTACAGATCAAACCACGCAATCCAGATAACGACAGCTCAACCTCTCAAACAGTTCCATCACCTGCTCTCCCACTTCTAGATCTATGAAATTGGCGTATTGCTTCCAGTACAATCAAAGACAACAACTTTTTCTCGGAAAAGAGAAACTCATGAGAACATCAAAGGGGGCAAAATGCGTATTACCGGACAAAATTGGGGGGAAAGAATCACCATATGCAGTACAAAGTTTTCACAGAGGCATATTATCAAACACTTACCGGTACCCCTGTCAATCCAGGGAGAAATCAAGAAAGTCGGGACCCGAACACCCAATCGGTCAAAACGGAAGTAAAAAGGGTCCGGCCCGACAATCCCGTCGGGGCTGGGAACTCCAGTAACCGGCGTCGGGACGTGATCGTAGAACCCGCCGTGCTCGTCGTAGGTAATCAAGAAGGCCATCTCCTTCCACTGCGGGCTGGCTCTCAGTATCTCGTAAACCTCCTTCACGAACTTCTGCCCCTCCGCCACGTCGTGCGACGGGTGGTCGTCGTTGGCAAGACCAAACGGCACGTCGTACCACCGCTGCTCCACCACGACGTAGTTGGGGAGCTTCCCTTCCGCCGCGTGGGACTTGAACTTGAGGGCGTAGTTGTGGAATTTGAAGATGTTCTTCAGCTTCCTGAGCGAGCTGAAGAATAGTGTGGCGGGGATACTTTGGTAATAAATCCCAAAACTGAGCCCGTTCTCGTCCAGCGAGTCGAAGATCGTCTTCTGCGGGAACCCACGAATCAGGTCCTTGCGGACGTTGCTGGTGGCGCCGTGCGAGGTCGCCGAGTGGACGTAGAACCGGTTCGGCTGAGTCGACGCCGGGACCGAGGCGAACCACCGGTCGAACACGGCGAACTCGTTCGCCAGCGTGGTGAAGACCGGGATCCGGGTCGGGTGGAACCCGCTCATCACCGTCCTGGCCATCGTCTCGCTCATATTGGCGGCCTGCTGGACGAACCCGTTCATCGGAGCGGGACTCCGACGGGTATCGTTCGACCCGAAGATTTGTTCCCTGATGGCCTGGAAAGAGTGGCCCGGGTCGGAGTCCACGAAGATCGCGTCGTCGGAGACGAAGACTTCCGGGGAGTCGGGATCCGTGGCGGAGATCTTGTTGGACTCGGTCCCGGTGAGCCCGTCGATGTCGGGTCGGGTTGACTTGAGCCAGCCCAGGATATGGTCGAAGGAGCGATTCTCCATGACCAGAACAACGACTGTTTTGATGGGTCCTCTGATTTTGGACTTATGCAAGTTAAACAATCTCTCATAGTCTCGAGACTGGGCGGAAACGGCCAAGAAGAGGAGGAACAGAGCGGTAATCGGGAGCCGCCGGGAAGCCATTATCCGGCAGTCCTAGGGAAAGTGGGGATGGTTAACGGCAGCAGAAGGTTTCGAATATAATATCTACGACATGGAAGAGAAGCGGTGAAAAAAAAAGGAGACCGATTTAACGACGGCAACGGCCAAAGGAAAGGGTATATGCTCTGTGGAAGAGAATCAAGCTTGCGAAGTCGATTGCTTTGCTGAAATTTTATTTATTTATTTATTTGTCTTTGGTGGTAATTGTTACCAGTCCATTACTCCATTAGCTTTGGAAAAATCAAAATTCAGAGTTTTAAAGAATGGGTCTACATGAAAACGACATCTATATGCTTGAATCTTGATTTTTTGTTTTTGGCTTCACCGACTTTTTGGATTAGTCAGCTAACTTTTAATCATTAACCAAAAACTCATTATCATTTATCACTGGCTGTGCCGTTATAATTTATTTACTGTTAATCTATAACCGGGGAACGAATCAGCTGAGTAACCTTATGGTGAGTTATCATGAGTAACTCGCCCATATCAGCATGACATCAGCATTCTCTCTCTCATGGAAGGCCTTTAAATTTCATCTCTTTAATCTTTGACGCACGATTTCTCACTCGTTTTAAGTCGAAATTTAATTTTTTTTGCACAATTAGATTAGATTA